TTATTATTTTATTTTTCAATTAGAAAAAAGGTCCAAAAAAAAGTATTCGTCGACCAGAAGGTATGAAACGTGAAGTATGGAGTTTAATCGCACAAGATGATCGGTAAATAAATCAAAATGAAAATCTTCTAAAAATAAAATTTTTTCTTCTGTAAATATTCAGTGAAAGTGTACCAATAGTTCCGACAGATACAAAATCTGGTGGTAATTCTTATGCTAGATGGATAAAACATTCTGCAATGAAAGTTCGTTCATGGCAATGGACACCATTTACCAATTCTGCACGTGGTCCTAATGATACATTTATTCTTTATCATTGGCAACATAAACCAAATCCTGATGATCCATCACAAGAATATTCATTTGCAAAATTTAATAAAGTAAAAAAAAAAGAAGAAGACGAACAAAAAAAAACAGAATTTTTATTTCTATTAAAATTTTCTCTTTTTGTTTTTGAAAATAATTAGCATGTTGATGTTCCAACATATACAGATAGTGAATATGAACAATATTTACAAGATAAAGATTGGACTCGAACTGAAACCGATGTTTTATTTGATTTATGTAGAAGATTTGAATTAAAATTTTTAATTATTCATGATAGATGGAATAATATTTTATATCCTGATAGATCTGTTGAAGATTTAAAAGAAAGATATTATACAATATGTACAGCTCTTGAATATGTAAGAATTTAATAAAACAAAAACAAAAAATTGTTGCTTTTTCTTCTGATTTATTAATTATAAATTAAAAATAGGCTCGAACAAAACGTCATACTGATAAATATAATTTTGATGCTGCTCATGAACGTCGACGGAAGGAACAATTAAATAAATTATTAAGTCGTACAAAAGCTGAAGTAAGTAAATAATTAAATAATTTTTCAATAAACAAAGAAAAACCTGTTAGTACAATCTCTGTCGGATTAAAGTGTAAAACACAATGTAATCATCTACATTGTAAATGACGAACTTTACTAATATATGGAAATGGAGAATAGACTCAACTCTATCTAATCTTGGTGTTAGAAATCTAGAAACTTGTATAAACCTACTCTGTCAAGAAAGTAAATTAGCAACAAATGTCTACCACGATTGTGTAAGAATGAAAAGAATTATCAAGGGTAACGATGGATAATATCTATTGCTTCTTTGAACTTTGCAATTCTTGAAAGCAAGAGTTTTGTGGATTGCTGACAGCTGATTATCTCGAGCTATGTTGCAGTTATCTATGCAATTAATTCCATGAAAGTTTGCGAATCTTTTCTAGAACTGCAAACGTTTGTCTATGATCAATTATCTGGAGAAAAAAATCATCTGTTGTCCTTTGAATAGAGTTCGTCGAGTTAGATTATAAATCTAAGTTCAAGACTAAATATTTTTCGTTAAATCGAATCCGAAAATGTTGTACTCGATAGGCTCTACCTTTGAGATCAGAACTAAGTAATAGTTCAGTAAATAGAACTCAAACTCTTTGAAAAGCCTCTTCTGTACTTCAATATTAATGTTCATAACCTTCAGAAACAAACCTTGTACTCAAGGAAAATAACAAAATTATGACTATCGTGTTAATGATATAGAGTCATCAGAAACACCGTTATTCGAGTAAACCTATTCGTATTTTAGATAAAAGAAGAGCTTCAATGGAATTCTAATTCTATGTAAAAATATATAGAATTTGTTCTGTAGCTGGTAGAAAGCATCATAAAATTTAGTGGATAGTCTTTTGTCAAGGTCAAAAGCTCAATGCAATGAAAAGGTATTATTCATAATAATTCTCTTTCTTCTTACTCAATCGAAGTACAATTTTGTTGCTGACCTACACTCTTGATGTAGTGCATCCACAGAAATTTTCAGACTTCTAACACTAATAGTAGTTGAGATTAGGTAAGGTGAAGACATTTTTTCACTACTATATGTTTCGGTTTGTGAGTTATTACTTGCTGTTAATGTATGTCGATGATAAACGACTTTAATCGTAACATATTACAGTGAATGAGAAAGAAAGGAAACAAACAACTATCTTAAATTCTGTCATGTCTCATATTAATCCTACAGCAGACTTCTGAAAACATCCCTTTTGGATTGTGCTTCATGAAAGAAAAACTAAAACTTTAATTTTTTTTTTTAGGAAGAAGAAGAATTATATTTAATGAATGAATTAAAACGTATTGAAAATGAACGTAAAGAACGTGAACGTATTATTTCACAAGATGTTCAAAAATTTGTTCAACAACAAGATCAAAATATTTTAACAACAAATAATTCCATACAACGTACAACTTCATCATCATCAAGACGATCATCAATTAATCAAGATTATCTTCAACGTCTTAATAGTACATCAAATCGAACATCAACAACACAAAGAATTGTAAAAGAAAACGAAAAAAAAAGCCGACAATTTCGATGAATTTAATTTGTTCTTTGTCTTTTTTAGACAACATGTGACCCACCAGTTGGAATTAAATTTCCTGAATTTAAACGTCCCGGTGTTTTTCTACGTAGTCAACGTGTAAGTTTTCAAATAAATCAAAGTAAATTATTATTTATTAGTCATTATAGATGATATTACCAACATCAATACCAAATAAAAAATTAGCTGTTATTGATCAAGTTCTTAAACAATGTCAATTAGGTATGGATTTGTTAAATTTTTTTTATGAAGTTTAATTTAAAAAAAAAAATAAAATTTTTATTTTAGAAAGAAATCCAATGGCATGCGAAGAAATTGTTGATGAATTTAATGATTTACGTTCGGATATTATTCTCTTATTTGATCTTAAAAATGCATTAAATTCAGCTGAATATGAATTACAAACATCATTACATCGTTTAAAAAGTGAAAATGGATCAATAAATGTTGGAATTTTATCAACACAACCATTAAGTGCTAGTAATACTTCATCAAATGATGCTTCAAGAACAGTAAATAATTTGCTAAAGGAAAATAAAACTTAACTCATATTTTCGTTTGCTTTTTGCTTCTAGCAATTTGATTTCTTATTATCACAACCAAGTACACCAAATGATAATATAACATCACCTAGATTATCTGATTCATTTGAACCAACTAATAATGTTCGTTCAAGTACTAGTGTAAGATTTTTGTCATTATTTGCAATAGGAATATATATATTAACGTCCAATCAATCGAATTCTTTTTTTCGTTGTCATATTAATTCAAAAAAAAAATGTCTAAAACCTAAATTTTTAGGCAGCTAAATTCCAGTAAAAAATTTTAGATGAGCTTTCGCCGCTGAATCTGATACAGCCATCATCTTACAGCGAAATAAAACAAATTCGAACTCAAAAGATACAATTTTAACGTACGAGAGAAGTCCCTCATCTCCATTGGTTAATCACTTTTAAGTCGTGATTATGTATATCATGCTAATTCCAATATGCTCTTAATATTCTGAGACGTGTTTGAGTCCTTAGCTAATTGTTGCATAAATACTGAATTATTAACACTATTTTTCAAGTCAATTCCGTGGTCGCTTCGAGCAAAACCCGGGAAATCAATTTTCGAATTGAAGCTTTGCATATAGACATATCTTAATAAAAACAGTTGATTGTAAAAGTTTTTTTTTGATATACTTCTATACTAAAATAAGAACATCGGATCTGCTACTATGTATGATTGATGTAGCAGACACGCTTTACCATAGTCAAATTTTAGGATAGGAATAACGAAATGGTCTGAAGCTTTCACAAAACACAGTATTCTCATTAAGTCCTTCCTCTGTTCAAAAAATGTGCTTCGAAAATGAATTTTCGTAATGTGTCTGAGGGATTTCGGAGCATTGACTTAAAAATATACCATAAAAATGTAGTGTTTCCGCAGTAACAAGCTTAGGATCCGAACTCTTTTCGAAGTATTCGGAGCTTATTACGATCTACATGATGCGCATAGTATCGAGTCAAAACCGACTAGTCAGTTGAAGAACTTTTCCGGTTAGTTACATTTCTTTTCCTACGAGCTAAAAAGATTACAAACTGAAAAAAAAACTAAATTTTCAAAAAATCCTAAAGCAAAAATAATTAGCGTATATCGCAAAGACGAACGTGAGAGTTTTTCAATTATGATTGATAGATCGAGTTTTTCAATAGCTACAACATACCTATATTATCTTTATTTTCATAATTATTGGCCAATGAAAAAATCTAAAAGAAAAAAAATAGAAATATCTTTTAGCGTAAAAAATGATTCGTTTTTTTACATGTTAAGTACTCTTGGTTTTGTATTTCTGTTTTCTTTTTTATTGAAAAATATTTGCTATAGATTTTGTATATATTTCAACGAAGAATCATTTTTTTTAGCCTAAGCTCAACTCTTCATAGTTAAAGTTTAGCGAGATACTGACAATCTATGAAAGATTCCATGATTTCTGAAGCAACCGTTAGTAACATTTAAATAGTTTTTTTCTTCTATCTCAATAGAGAATAAATTCAATACTAGATAAATATATACATTGATTCATAGAAATAGATTAATCACGAATAGTTGTTGAAGTAAATTTTCTTTTGTCATTCAAGGTAAATATTTTATTAAGATGTAGTGTATTTCATACTTTTCACTATATGTAAAATATTAATATATAAACGACGGAAATATGATCCTACCTTCGTCATTTATGAATGAAAAAAAGAAATCGACGATTTGATTCGGAAGCTTCATTCGAACGATGATTGGACGTTAACATAAATTCTTAGTAACGTGCAATATTGATTTAATGTTTTTATATAATGTATAGGAACGAAAACGTCGAGCACTTTCGTCACAAACGTCAACGATAAAAAAACGTGATCGACAATCATAAATTGACAGAAGTTGGGTATTTTTTTTATGATGTATAGCGAAGTTGTATCGTCCTTTTCATAAGGACATTATTTGTTGTTGTTTGTTTTTGTTATTGATAACTAAAGCAAAGGAGAATTATTAGTTGTAAATAATAAATCATTATTTCATTTATTCATTTTCTAGATAAAAAGAAAATGAATATTATTTGGAATTTTCTTCTTCTTGTTTTAATAGCTGATTATTCTTATGGACGATATACTGTTAGGTGGATTAGAACAAATGATCAGACACTTATAGACGAATGTTTGGAAAAATCTCTTAAGCATATGAATCTTGGTGAAGATATTACTGTTTTACAATCAAAAGTATCAAATATTATTTGTAAAACACGATTTCTCAATGGAATTAATATTAAATTATATTTCGAACTTGAACAACAAAAATGGAAATGTCTGCTTTATAAACCACTTGTTGAAACACTTGGTATACAATATGAAAGATGTATGCAACCACAGGACGATGATTCATTGGAAGAAGGTCAATCAAAACAATCTAATCAAATAATTCAAGAAGAACCACAAGTAAATAATGACAATAAAGTTGAAGAAGAACCACAAGTAAATAATGATAATAGAGTTGAAGAAGAAGAAGAAGATGATGAAGCTAAAATTGATGCACTTAATGAACAAGAACGGAAAAAAGAGATAAAAAATGATGAAACTGAAATTGATAACAGGAATCAACCAATATCTAATGAAGATACGAATAATCAACAAGGTTCTGAACAAAATGCAGATAGAAATGAAAAAATTAGTAATGACCAAGTTGAGAACGAAAATATGAATAACGATGAAACAAATCTTGATACACATAATTCTGAACAAAAGAAAAATAATGATGAAGAGATATCTAATAAAGATGCAGATAATGATAATACAAATGTTCAAGATAATAATCAACAGGAGCAGCCAGAAAATATAAATAATCAAGAAGTAATGCCTGAATAAAATAAAAATAATGATGAAAAACAAAATCAGTGATACTTGTCGATATAAATCTTTTTTTTTTTCTTATTAAATGTGATCTAATAAATATTTTATTGTTTTAATTCGTTTTTTATTCTGAACTAACAAAGATATATTTATATTTATTTTTAACACTAACAATGACGCTCATTTTTATATAATTTCATTTTTTCAAAACGCAAATTCACTGTTATCTTATTCAATTAATTTTTGAATTTTTATTTGTTTTTTTTTTAAAATAAAGATCTTAGCGCAATCATGTGGCATTAAAATGTGAAACATAATTTAATTACTAGTGCTAATCATAGGAGGATTATTTAATTCTATCCATTGTGCTGCGTATATTCACACTATTCTTTTTATTTTTTGACTTAATTCTTCATGAAAATAATCAAAAATTAATTCATATATTAAGAAGTCTCGCTATGATTATGTAAAATAGCTATTAGGCGTCGTTCACAGTTGATAGGAGGAAGACTGTCTGAAAATTTCGTTTCATACTTTAACACTTCGTTTACACTGTGTTTTACAAAACAAAATTAACAATGGAAAGTAATTATTTTAAAGAAACATTAACAAGTGTAATACAACAAAAAAAATTAATAAGAAAAAATCATTGCAGACTGTAATTACAAATTAATTAATCTGAGCATCAGAAATATGTTATAATATATACGATAGAATATACAATACGAAAAGATTGCAAAATTATATGTTGTTTTGTTTATGTTTCCATGATTCTTAAGGTTGATTTTATGAATGCCGATCAATGTTTATAATATGAATCAACTCTAGGACATACATTAATTATCATTCATGTAATAAAACTTGTTTTCCAATTAGCTAGTTTCACAAGCTAACAAAGATGTGGATAAATAAGACAAGGAGTTATAATAACGATGAAAATCATTTATCATCTTGAATTTATTATTAACATAAAAGAAATAATTATTATGTGAATAAAATGTTAAAAACTTTCTCGTAAATAAATACATAGAGATTTCAAGTGAGTAAAATTTTCACATAAATCAAAATTATTCTATATAGTGAAAAGAATTTTTTTTCCTATAAGCTTTCAATCATATTATAAACAAATTTTCGTTCAAGAATATTTCAATATATGTAAGGAAAATTTATAATCATTATTACACATTAGTTTGATTGATAAATGGAATATTCCTAAATGAATTTCCACATTAGATTTTTTTATTATGCTTACATATTGTAAATATTATACATCTTCTAGGACAACAAGAAAAGTAATTCCATTATGTAAGAATGGGTAACATTAGAAGATGAAATAGAATATTATTTTTAGAATCAATTTTGTTGCTATTTTTACTATTTCAATTGTTTTAATCACATTTGTCTCGCCTGCACACAATTACAACTAGAATATACATGTCATTTTTTTTTCTTGTTAGTTCTATTCCCTTCGGAGAACAGAGAAAAAAATGGTATAGATACCACAACCAACTATCTATCTTTTTTCCGTTTCGTAGAACGCTTATTATCACGACATTATATTATCTCACCATTAATTCTATTTGTCAGGATACTAGAAGTAGCAAGTAAACATTTACCAAGATACGCGCCAATCATTATTCAATGAATGAATTTACTAGAAAAATCGATTGTCTAATAGAACGTCTTCATCGTGGAACAGAACAATGTGATCATATTGAACAACGAGCTTGTCTTGCTGAAGAACGTTTATTCATACTTAATGAATCTATTCAAACACTTGCTCGTGTAATTGACGTTAGTTATTTAATACTTATCTCATTGGATAAAGAAAAATTTACATGGTTAAAATTAATTAATAATGAAAATCTTGATTTAACAAATCCAATAGCTAAACAATTCTTCTATCGTCTTGAATTATATTTAAGACGAACAATTATCGATGATAATGAGAAACGAGCATATATTCAAGCTTTATATCTTTTGCAATCACCATTCATTGTATCATCTGGTTTTTTTTTCAAACATGAAAGAAGAAAAAAAAAAGAATAACAAATAAAAAGTTTTTTTTTTAATTTAATTTTAATCTTGATCTTCATCATCATCATCTTCATCGTCATCGCCATTTGCTGCATTTCGTTGTGATGCTGTTTTCGATTCCTTGACTGCTCCTCCAACTGCTGTTGATTCATCTTCATCTTCACCAGGTAATTTACCTTTAATGCCACCATCTAAAAATATTAAATTCAATCAATATTATCTTAAAAATTTTTCAAAACTTACCTTCATCTTCATCCGAATCTTCATTATCATCACCAGGTCTTTCAGTATTTTCAATAGCTGCATCCAACATAGCTTCCTAAAAATGGAAAAAAAAAACAAAATAATAAAGATAAATATTATTTAATTGATTCATATAAATTTACTTGAAGTGCAGCATCATCAATATCAGTTACGACTTTAGGTTCCATTTTAATTTTAAATATTCCACGATATTGATCAATACCTTGTTTAATCTTATCAATAACATTTCTTAATGCATTAAGACCGTCATTTCGATCAAGACATGTTGCTGTAACGACATAAAGTGGTGGAGCAATAAGGTTAATCTTAAGTAAAAAACAAACAATTAAAAATTTTGTTTTTGTATTATTATTATTATTATTATTTAAATAAAAATTTAAATATTTACTTTAACTGGCATTTCTTCTGTTGATGCACTAAGACCTTCTCTTAATGCAGCTTTAACTGCATCGACACCTTCATAACCATAACATGCAACTTCAACATCTAAATATTATTAAAATAGAAAATTAGAACAAAAAATAAAATAAAATATCTACCAGCTCGACATTTAACAGCTTGAGGAGTAAGACGACGTCGAATATTATTAATTAAAATTTTTTTTGTATTTTCATCTACTTGACAATCAACAAGTTCATGTTCATCACTGGAAACAAAAATAAAACAAGACATATTCAATTTTTGTTTTTTGTCTTCTATAATATTTACCTAACAGCTCGTACAAATACATCATAAGCTGCACCTGGTCGTTTATATTTTTCATCATAATACCAAGCTGTTTTTTCATATAATTCTTCAAATTCTTCATTAGTTTTTATTCCTAATACTTCAGCTGTATGACGAAGAATACTATTCACCTATAAAAATCAAAGTTTTCAAGAAGTTTTATTTATAAAACATACTGTTTTTCCACGAACAAATTTTTCTTCACATTTATTAATATCTTCTGGTGATACACGACGTTTCGATAAATCAATATAACCTAAAATAGAAATTATCATTTAAAATTTTCATTTTTTTCTTTTAGTTTTATTTGATTTCAATAAACCTTTATCACGATCGACACGAACAACAACAACAACTTCATTTCGACCAACACGAATTAATTTATTTATTGAACGAATACGACGACGTGATAATTCAGTTAATAAAATCATACCTAATCAAAAACATAAAATTTAAATTAAAAGAAAAGAAAAAAAGAAAAGAATTGAACCTTGTCTATTATTATATTCAAGTAGATTCACATAGACACCCATTTCTTCGATCTCGGTAACATTAACCATAACAAGGTCCTCGGTTTCAGGGAAATGGTTTTTGTAAAAACGGCACGTTAATTGCATTGTTTTTTGTTTTGTTATAAATCAATCTAAAATACGAGAAAATATATGATTGTGAAATCTTTATTTAGTTTTAATGATTGACAATGAAGGAAAAAATACATATGATAAAAATATCGAAATTATAGCTATCATAACAAACAACTGATGTAATTATGGTATATTGAATAAGCCTCTCAGGATTGGTTGAAAAAAATACACAAGTTACAAGGATGATGTCTCTAGTATCGGTTTATCCTATTGGAGAATAAATTTTTATTTCGTTTGTTTGATAACAGTTGTGGCTTTTTTTCTTTTTCATTTTAATCTGTACTTTTGTTAAGTGATTGCACGTAGATGAGACAATTGTTATTATTACGTCGTTCATTAATATCTGTACGATTTTCTTCGTATTCGGTATCACCTCAAGCAACAATTTCTCATGATGAACCAAATTCACCTGCATTCGCAGAAAATGTCGATATTACAATTGCTGGTGGTGGACTTGTTGGAAGTGCTATGGCACTTGCTTTTGGTAAGATTATATTTATTTTTATTTTCATTTATTTTTTATATATTTCTTTTAGCTTCATCTCCTGTATTTAAAAATCATAAAATAGTTCTTTTGGAATCTCAATCGAAGCTTCCACAAGTTTCTAAAAATAAACCATATAGTAATCGTGTTTTTGCTCTTAATGCTCAATCAATAAGTTTATTTGAAAGTATGATTTCATTTGAATATTAAAAATAAAATCATTTATTTTGTTTTTTTTTTTTGAGAACTTGGAGCATGGGATTTAATGAAATCTATACGTGTTCAAAAAGTAGCTCGAATGCAGGTAAAATTTCATTTCTGGAAAAAAAAGTAATTTATTTTTTTTATCTTTTGTATTGGTCTGGGATGCTTGTTCAGAATCAGTTATAGCATTTGATCAAGGACATCAATCTGAAAATAATTCTCTTGCTTATATAGTTGAAAATGATGTTATACAATCTTGTTTACTTGAACGATTAAAACAATTTCATGTTGAACCAAGACTTAATTCAAAAGTTAAACATTTTGAATATGAAGAAAATTCTATTCGAATTAAATTACAAGATGAAAAAATTAATCTTCGAACAAGATTATTAGTATGTTTTTAAAGATTCATCTTTTTATTTCTATATTGATTAAGAATTTTTATTTTATTCTTTTATTAGATTGCAGCTGATGGTTATCAATCAAGTATTCGAGAAATGGCACGTATTTCAACAATGCAATGGGATTATAATCAATTTGGTATTGTTGCTACACTTCAATTAGCCGATAATGTTTGTTTATTTTGAATTAAAAAAGAAACATCTTTTATTATTTGCAAGATTTAGATGCCAGATAATGTTGTTGCTTGGCAACGATTTTTACCTACAGGTCCAATTGCTTGTTTACCAGTAAAAATATTCGAAATGATATTTTAAAATTATTGATCTATTTATGTTCTTAGTTAAGCAATACACATAGTTCACTTGTATGGACTGTACCAAAATCTATGCATAAAGAAATAATGAAACTATCAGATGAACAGTTTGTTGATGCAATTAATAAAGCATTTGTAAGAGAATGAAAAAGAAAAAAAATCGAAATGTTTAACTTTTATCTAATCTAATTTAATTTAGACATCTGATACTTATAAACATAGTGGAGTTATTTCAATAACAGAACGTATTCGATCATATTGGCAACAAGTAATACCAGGTATTTTTACAAGAAATCGATGTTAGAGTTAAAGAAACGTACAGTATTGATAAAAAATATAAGGTTAGCGTATTTTTAATTCTTTTTCTACGACATTAAGCATTTAACTCAAATTCAAACAGTGGTCTGAATAGCAAATGAAATTGTCTATCAAATGCATTTCATACTGAAAGTTCATAAATAGACTGTGAGAGACAGATTTCTAAATAGTTTTCAGATCTCAGAAGACGATTTGAAAATAAGTTTTTAAGAGTACCAGGTTAGAAAGCACGAAATCCTGAATAAAATATGGAGTCACTGCATTTCTTACGATCTTCTCTTATAAAGTTATAAGCATAACAAAACGAAATTTATCATAACATTGCTAAAAATCACATTTTGTTATTTTGCAATGCTTATAAATTTTTAAGAGAACATCGTAGGAAATGCGGTGATCCCATGTTTTATTCAGAATATTATGCTCTTTAACATAGTACTCTTAAAAGCTAATTTTTACACAGTCGTATGAGACCGAAAAACTATCATGTTTGGTTTTTTTAAGAAAACTTCCTCTCATAGTCTATCTATGAAACTTCAGTATGAAATGCATTTGATAGAAAATTTCATTAATTGTTCAAATCACTCTTTGAATTTGAATTAAATGCTTGGCATCATAGAAAAAAATCAAGCATACGTTGGTCTTATTTTTTTTTCTGATCAGTACTGTATATATGAAATGAATATGTCGAGAATAGTAGTAGTGAATAAATGAAACATCGCTCGATTCATGTTGTTTTCTCATATTGAGTCAAATATTTGCTAAATCTATTAATAATTTTACATAGATCTTGAATGTTTTTGTGTAGATGATTGCTTTTGAAACAGTTATTATTATTTTTCAAGATATTTTTTCTTATTCTCATTCATCTTTTATATTATTATTGATGTCAACTTTTGAAATAGCTTCACCAACAGTATTGCAATATCCACCAGTTATAATCAATGTTGAACCAAGATCACGAGCGGCATTTCCATTAACAGTAAAAAAACCGAAAAAAAAAAAAGATTTGTTAGTTAATTATGTAATATTATTGGAAATATTTAGCTTCTCAATGCTAATCAATATGTTCGTCCTCGTTTAGTACTTATCGGGTAAGATTTAATTAATTAAACTTAAAACAAAAAAAGAACACTAAAACTTTGCTTTTAGAGACTCTGCTCATCGTATTCATCCAATGGCTGGTCAAGGAGTAAATATGGGTTTTTGTGATGTATTATGTCTTTTTAATATACTTGAACAAGCTGTTCGAGATGGTGCTGATTTTAGTATGTATTTTTTTTTCTTTTTTAATCTTCTAAAATTTTATTTATAGGTTCTTTGATATATCTTGTTGATTATGAACGTCAACGACAATTACAATGTTTAACAAGATTATTATCCATAGATTCATTAAATCGTCTTTATTCAACAAACTTTTCACCTGTTGTTGCACTTCGAAGTATTGGTCTTAGTTTTGTTAATGAATTTTCACCATTAAAAGTAAATGTAGATTTTTATTTAATCAAAATTGTTATTGATTTTTATTTCTATTTTAGAAATTCTTTGAAAAACAAGCGGCTTCTAGCACTTAATCGTTAAGAATGTTTTTTTTCAAACATAATGTGTTTTTTTTATTTAAATAAAAACAAAATCAAAGAATCAAGCAAACAAATATTTCGATGTTCAATTTTTTTTGCTGTGTGTTTGTTAATAATGAATTGTTTATGGAAAGCTTATTTCGTTGGTATAGTCCGAAAGTTTGAACAAAATGAAGCAATATGCGTTAGAGTGGATAGAATTTCATAATTCACATGGACGAATCATAGATTCATTTCAATGAGGTAGATATTTTCTACTACGACAACAACAAATTCAGATATATATTAATTTTTTCATAAAGACTCAACATGGTACTTTGGATTTAATTCTGTATTCGTCATGACGATTTCGAAAGATCTATTGATAAAAGAATCACATAAATGGTATAGACAGCATAACCCAATGCATTATCGTTTGCATAGAATTGTTGGGTCACTTCAGTAATCGTTGGAAAAGGAAGGGTGTGGATGGAATGACTTGAAAAAACGCACTTTTTTCCTCTGCTATAATAGTGTTGATTAGACAAAAGTAGTATCTATCGCATATTTTTTAAAAGACCTTATTGGTGTCTAAATAATAGTTTTATTAATTGACATATTTCATTGATGATAAATATTTTGCTCGACTTTTAATGTGGTGAGATTTACAAATAATATACATGATCTACGTCATTTCTACTTTTATCTTCCGATCATGAGTACATAGCTCTTTTTATGTTTTACCATCTCTTATTTGCCAAGCTATTGGGAAATTTTTGAAACACATTTGATTCACTTGTCAATATTTTTATTAATATATATAACAAAATACGTATACCAATTGTATCTTCTCTGCAGGTAGGAATAAAAAATTTTATTTTTCCAAACTTATTGATTTTGCAAGGCATATTTTTCAGAGATAGAACAATGAAGCAACATACTCTTTTTTTTTATCAATTAATAGCTCATTCAATTCTCTACAACGAACATAAAGTTAGTTGTCGATTAATTCTATTTTTTTAAATAATATTATTTTCGCCAATGTCCACGACATTAAACATTTGGGAGGATGGGTAAATGGTTAATGCTCCGGCGAATTATAATGATATGAATAATTATTTGAGAGAAAAAGATAATCAAATGATATCACAAAATAGTAGACGTGGAATTTGTGAAGAATCTTTTCAATGTATAGATCACTTTTCGATTTTCGTTTTTTTCTTGCTGTTGTGATCGAACCAATTTTAGGTTCATGTGATCATGAACATGGTAGAACATATAGCATAGGCATTATTGCTCGTACTTATGAATTAGATGAGTATGACTATAGATATAACTGCTAATCATTTAGGTTCTGTTTTGAATTTTGCTTATGTTCACTTAATCTTGAACATTTTCATCGTCGACGACATCATTTAACACAATGATGTGTTTGATAAATATTTTGGATTGTGTGATTGAAATTCCAATGAGAACGATTCTCAGTATTATTTAACTGATTAAAATAAATCTTATTTTTATGCACTTGCTTAATTACCTCGACAAATTATTTCATGTAAATATTGTGTTCTTCAATGGAAATATCATGCAGGAAATATTTGAGGAAAAAAATTATATAGAGGAAGAAGATGTTTAGTTTATATAAATCAATAAGAAGAATTTTATAATTGTACTGATATTGAGATTATTCAATGAATATCAAATGAATTGAACACAATACTAAAATAATAATCAAAATACGGTAGTAATAAATAAAAGAAAAAAAAAATCGATGTTTTTTTTTTCTATCGAGTTTTTATTTACTTTTATTTCTAGTTTGACCTTGTAAATTTTAATCATAAGTATTAAAATCAAAAATCGATTTCTTTCCGAAAGAAATATGATGAAGTTATGGGCTTTGTCACTATTCATTGAATTACTGTTAGAATTTTTTTTGCATCGTCATTTGTGACACGATAAAATTTTCTGTTCTTTTTCTTCTCCTGCTACAACACGTTTCTGTTTTCATTTACAAACAATGACAGACTCAACTGAATTGTCAACAGCTGCAAATTGGATTCGACAATCGTCTTCGATTTTAATTGCTGCAGGTGCAGGTTTATCAGCTTCAGCAGTTAATCCTCAATATGGTGTAGGTCTTGATTATACTTCTGTAGCAGCATTTCGTCAATTATATCCTCGTATGACTCAAGTATCAACAATGCGATGTATGTATGACGCCATTGGAAAGCATGATTGGACGCCAGAATTAATGTGGGGTTATCTTTTTACACATGTTGATAAATGTCGCTTTAATTGGGGATCAACATCTGTTTATCAAGATCTTAAACAAATATTATCAAATAAACCAATTGATTCATTTGTAATAACGACAAATGCTGATGGAATGTTTGAACAAAATAAATTTGTAAGTTGTTATAATTAGAAGAAAAAAAAATAGAATGTTTTCTTTATTGTTTTTTTTTTGTATAAAGGACATGACATGTTTTCTTAGCACGCAAGGTGATTATTCTCTTTTACAATGTCTTAAACCATGTTCACAACAATCTGTATATGAAGCTCGTCCATATATTGAACGTGCTCTTTCTCATATTAATCCACAAACAATGGAAGTACCTTCAAAATATATTCCTCAATGTCCTCGTTGTGGTGGATCTATGTTTTATTGTGTACGTGGTGGTGAATGGTTTATTGAGTCTGCTTTTGATAATCAACGACATCGTTATCGTGATTTTCTTCATCGAGCAATTGATAAAAAAAATGATTTATTTACAATTATTGAAGTTGGTGTCGGTTTTAATACACCAAGTGTCCTTCGTTGGCCTATGGATAAATTAGTAAGCGAATTTAAAAATGTAAGACTTATTCGTATAAATATGCATGCACCTGATGTACCAGTTCATGCACGAAAAGAGAAAAGAACAATTGGTTTTGATGGAGATGCAGCACAAATTATTCGACAACTTAGGGATATGGTTATAGCATGAAATGCCTGATAAATAATAAATCATAAAAAACTATGATTCAGATTTAAAAGTTTGATCGTTTCTAGTGAATTTTTTTAAATAAATATAAAATAAAGACTTATTGAATGTTGTTATGTCTTGATGTTCAATTTAACGAATGTATTCAGCAAAATATAACATTGACACGTCGAGATGAACATGTGTAGTTATAGATAGAATCTTTGACAAAATGATATTTATCTTGTCAAAACAAACTTTTCAAAAAAAAATCTATTAAAAATTTATTAACTATAGTAACGACCAAAACTATAGGTTTATCCTATACACAGAAATTTTTTTATTTTGTTATCGATTACTAAGACATCATTTAAGAAGTACATATGTAAGTGTTGTAGAGTCAGCTATCCTATCTATGAATATGTATTTCATCTACAATATCTAACTATTGTTATCATGAAAAGACAGCAGATACCAAACAAACAACACTTTTTCATCGAACAAAATTATAAGGTCAATCGAAGTTTTCATAACAAAATCTTTCACTGCTTTAACAATATTTACTCACTGTTCCTTCACGAACCGTTTGACAATGTTCCAGTCGACATGACATGGAATTAACCAGTGTTTTGCACGTCTTCTGACTGAAATCGATCCATATTTGATAAATCATGTCTCTAGACTCTGTTAAGTTCTCGGGTTGCATGGATTTTAGACGATCATTAATCATATCTTATAAGTTTTCGTTGTAGTTGACAACCGATGACGCAGACGATCAATTCATAAGAGAAATGTTGTTTCTTTCGAAATAATCGATAGCAAATTTTGAGATATACGATAAAACATTATCATGCATCAAAACCTAATTATCACGTTGCAAGTTGAATGTGTCTTCAACGAATAAGGATAGAGCCTCACCAATGATCTGAATATAAGTAGGACTGTTTAATCGGTCTCGATAAAAGATGAAACTAAATGATTTTTCATTTTTGCTCATTGTTCGTCGGACTAATGTACGATTCTTGCAATTAAATAGTTCAAAATGAGCCTCATCGCTCCAGATAACGTATTTTCAGTTATTGGGCAGTTCATGAATATGATTATTCGCAAGCTCAAGACGTTTTTCTTTTGTATTGCATTACAAAACGGTTTACGTTTGGCAGTATAACTTTTGTATTCACTATCCAACAGTTGATAATAGACTGTGCGAGCCGATAATGTTTTACCATTTAGTAATACCAATTCAGATGAAAATTGTCGACTACTTTTTGTTCGACCTTTCTTTACACAATCGTAATAGTCGACAACCATCTTTTCTAGTAGACAAACGTTTTCGACGTTGTCCTTTGGCATAGACCTATCTTAACTTTTTTGGACACATTTTTTGCGCAGTTTTGTGACGCACTAAACTTCCTCGCCACTGTTCTCTGGCATCTATAATTTTTTAATAACACTACAATTTAATTTTTCTTGTCTTCCGACGCAAAGGCTCGTCCTATAAAGTAGATAAATGTAATAGAAGGAAAAAATAATAATGCAACAAAAGAAAATCAGATGTATAACGAAAGAGAGAGAGAAAGAGGTCAAACTATGATGTCATTTTTCTGGGAAAGTATAATGCTATGGAGTGTTTGGAGGTCACAAAAAATCTCAGGTGAACTTATAATATTGACCAATATTACATATGATAAACAAGAATACGATGAAATATTGATGGTATTATTTTAGAGAATCAAATCAATTTATTCGTTACAAGTAGATTTTAATAGCATGGAAATACGTACAAACATCATTTATGATGTAAACGACAGAAATAACTTTCAAATAGATTGTACAAGGATAATTTTCTTTACTGCACTAAGATAACGATGATTGGATTCTATTATCAGTTTGTCTTCTTAGGTCAAGGTACCATAATATTATTTCTTTATTACACTATCTTTTGTCTTAGCTGAAGTAATAGAAAAAAAGGAAGGATACAAGAAAAAAGAAAGAATTAGAAGCAAAGAAGAAAAGATTCTCTTGATGGATCTGATTTCCTATTCTCATTAGTCGAGTTAGTTGGAGGTCATCAACTCGGAGATTCCATCCTCTTTTCCTCTTATCTTTACCTAAGTGCATAAATATATATTACTCGACTCGGATTACGTGAACAATAACAAACCATGTTATAATTATTGCAGGCAGAAATGCTTGTCGCTCATTCATTCAGTTAACTTATTGTCAAGTAATCATCATTCTATGGTGTATATTCCACATAGTGATCAATCCGATATAACTTTTTTTTTCGGCTACATTGAAATAAATCATACTATTTATTATTAATCAGTCGTTGTCGTATCACTGAATCAACAATGCCAGCGTATGGAATGGACATTGCTCTCAATCGAAAGGTAATCAAATGCATGTAATGAGATATATATTTGTTACATTTGAACAACAAGCATCTATACATGACTTTTTATGGAGTCATATACGATAATAATTGAATAGAAAAAAAAGTAAAAAAAATTGATTGTATTCGCTAAAAAATAATACACTCTGATTAGCGAACAAGTTTCGTTTAAATTCTTACAAGAATACTAAATATTTAAATATTAAAAGAGTTATTGTTATTGATATCATCATCGTCTATTTATATATATATATACGTATGAAATCAGTATTGTATTGAATGATGTTATTAATCATCCTTGACAAAGATTAATAAGTCGGTTTTTTTTAGTAATGTTCCCACGCGTCTATTCATCAAAAGTACATTATTATAGATGGCATCCTAGTGTGTGATTAAAAGGAAAATAGAAAATACCATATTATACCCGCCTACATAAAGATGATTAATATATAAGATAGTTTGTACATGACGAAATGATTGTTTCCTTCATGTTTGTATTAAGAAAATCTTTGTTTACTTCTCTCTATCTATCTGTTATACAAGTCATTCTAGATCAATCCTTTCTTATAGAATATGTCAATATCGTCATTATTCTGTACTCTTATGTGAACATCTGTAGACGGAAACATTACTCATTTACTTTTAGCCGATATTTTTTTTCTTCTTTTTCTCTATGAATACAATTATATTGGTATAAATACATAGTCGTGTTTCTTGTTATTATCACTCTTTCTTTGGCAGTGACTTCTTATTATTACTGTACGCATATTCACTTGAAGAACATGTCTCATGTTGGACCTGCATATGGATCATTGGCTGCTAATCAAGCAAAGGTGAAATAGACAGTTGATGGAATCTCTTTCTTTGCCATACATGAGTTAACAACTAGATGAACATAAAAAGAAGTAGTGCATTATCACTAGTACATGTTGTCTTTCATTTCTCTTTTGTTATCTCTGTTTATAGAAATATATGCTTGAAGGGTTTATTTCTCATGCAGAGAATGATAATGATAGTGCTAATTTTTTATTAGCCAACAGAGTAAGTCAATAGATTATGAACAATGATAGTTTCGAACTATAGACTAGTAACCTATTGTAGAATTAAAATTATATCAAGAGAGAATACATCATTCTAGAAAGAATTCTAAGAATATGATTAATAACATCTTTCTAACTGTGGATTTTCTTTCTTTTTTGCATTTGAATGATATCTGTCTGATAACCGCCGGTTGTTTAGATCGCAGCAAAACGTGATCCAAATCTTGATCGAGGGGTACAAGAATGGGTTGAAGCTATAATCGGAGAGAAATTTCCGAGTGGTCCTTATGAAGATGCACTGAAAGATGGTGTTATCTTGTGCAAGTATGTTTTCTTCGTCCTTTGTTTGTTTTTTAATTATAATTCGTGATGTATATTTAAAAAAAAACCAACAACAGATTAATGAACAAACTTCAACCGGGTGCTATTCCGAAATTTGCTACATCAGGTGGATCATTCAAATTACGTGAGAATATCTCACTTTTTCGTGAGTGATACTTTTATAAGTTAATTATTAATTAATATCTCTAAATAATTCTAATAGAAAATGCCGCTCGTGCTTATGGTCTAAGTGATGCTGAACTCTTTCAAACTATTGACCTTTTTGAAAAACATAATATTCCTCAAGTAACTCAGTGTATTTTTGCACTTGGTCGAACTGTGAGTGATTGGATTTTTTTTGTTTTTGAAATGGTGATATATTTACACGACTTTTTATCTCTTAAGGCACAGAAAAAAAAATTTAATGGACCAACTCTTGGTCCGAAAATGTCTGATGCTAATGTACGCGATTTTACTGAAGAACAATTACGTGCTGGACAAAGCACACTTGGTTTACTCAATGAAGGCATGACTAAAGGTGCGAATCAATCTGGCCAAAATTTTGGTCTATCACGTCATATATAAATGATAAAATAATGATAATAAAATAATAAACTAGAAAGAGATGTTTTTTGCAGATGCTTTTTGTAATTCTATTAATAATTAACCATTTTTTCAAATAAAGAAATATGATGAGTGTCAATAATAAGAAAATTTTGAATAAAAACTGATTTTTTTTTCGTGTATTTTTTTGCTTATTGAAATAATATGACGGAATTGCTATGATCATTGAAGTTTATTGCCATTGTCGAATGATAAATACGTATATGTATATACATTAATGTGTCGTAGAAGATACATAACTTGGTTTAAATAAAATCACTGCAAGATATAATGATGTTATTCTAAATCATTCTCTGCAATAGAAGACTCGGAGTCTTTTATTGTGTCATATTTATTATCATCATTTTTAATAAAAAGTTTTTTTCAACAAAATCTAAACCTTTCGAGAATTTTCAAAGATGTTTTTAGGATTTTGAAAATCCAGCACGAATGTTGACATCATTCTTTTAATATTTTCAATTCAAAATCCTAAAAACTAGGTATATTTTGATGTAAATATATACTAATGAAAGTTTCAATTTTGTTAGAAAATAATTTATTAAAGAGAATCTTCTAATCTAAAGTAAGGTTTAACGAAATTCAATATTTTCTCTTGTATGATAAATGTCATGACTTCAATGATCAGTCATATTATTTCAAAATGAAAAGTTACCACTGAAATTTTCGTTTACATTTCAAAATTAAAAGAAGAACCATATACTATCCTTATCTTGATTTCTAATTTTGATGAACAAGAAAAGATTGAATTTTTTCATCTGTCATAGGTACTCAATCAAAATCTGAAAATATCTCTTCAATATCTAAACATCAATCTCAAGTGGAAAAAGTATTTTTCTGTCAATTTTATATCAATCTAGAGACTTTTTGTTTTTTAGCCACAAATCCGAGAAAAAAATGGAAATCGGTCAACTTATACTGAAGCTATTAGAGCATCATCAGAATTGTCAGACAGCTCCATTGTATGTGACGATCGTCAACGATCCCATAGTCGACAACGTCGATCACAACAGCGTACATTAAGCAGTTCTTCTGTTGAAAATCTTCTTACTAATCTACATAATATTCAATTACCACCATTAGTATCATCATCATCATTATCATCATTACATTCACATATGAATGAACAACAAGAAGAACACGAAATTAGTCTTCAACTGCTGGTTGATCTTGCACGAGATACAAATTCAACACGAATCAATAAACTTAATCGTCTTTATTCATTTCTTGAAGATTCTATTGGAATGGTTGAACTTCGTAGTTTACTTAACTTTATCAAATCATCATCGTCTGAAATAAATATTAATGAACCTCCTCTCAATCTTTATTCATCTATTTTACCTATTATTATTGCTTTAATCTTGCTTGAAAATGATATTTAATCGACACTTATATTATTGTTTTATTTATTCAATAAAGAATTCAATCTTAGGAAACTAATAACTATATCACGGTTTTTTTGTACTAACAACTATATACAATATAATGATAAGTAGACAGATTTCAAATACAAGAACAAAAAGATTTCTATGTGAAAGTATCATTTACTCAAATTACAAAAAAGAAAGTATCCATGTTTTTATAAAATTATATTGACGAGAATAGTTGACGTCACTGTTTATAGTAATATTGTCCTAGAGTTGCAATAATCGTTACTGTTCATGATAATAAAACATTACTGATATAACATAAAGGAGATAATGCAAGTTGTTTTAAGAAAGTAACTTTGATGTTATTCAATCTGATAATGATTTTTGATTATATATTACCTAGCAATATATTACACTACGTTGTACTTCAGCTCTACCTGTAACTTTCAAGAGAACTAACTGGATGATGAAGAACATAAGATAAAATATTTGATACGAATTAGTTTGCTTAGAAACGATAAAATAACTCTATGAATATTGCAATCAATATCAAGTCTCAGAATTCAATTGTTTTATTTGAAACATTCATTATATTCAATATTCCAAAAGATGACACTTTTCAACATTACTTCATCTATCAGCTATAACCTATAGAAAAAAAAAGGTCTTCCTTCCTGTAAATAACCAATATTGTTCTTATCGTATATTTCTTTTCTTCTGCGTCATTCTTTTTTTTCTCTGCGTCTACTATTATATATCATCATGTCACTATCCATAGTATTATTTGATGATACTCGTTGAGGTTGCCTCATTAATCTAAAGCTGTGATTTCTGTTTACTGTATATTGAGATTGAAAAACAAGTCATTCCATGGACTTTTCTATGAATCATTGACTGAGAATCAAGTAAAGTTAATAGAAATTTCGACTTAACATTTTTATTTGTTTCAAATATATGAACAAGTTACTTGATAGTTCAGATGTAACGATAAAACACTAGTAAGATCTAATATTTACAATCAGTCAGTTATATATATATACATATTTTTTCTTTTTCTTGCGAGTGCCTGTATATAAATACATATGAATTATTTTTGAATTAGACTATAATATAAGTCATAGTTGTTCCATCTCATTCGATTGAAAATATAAACAAGTAACTAACAGCTACATCCTATTATGAGAGATCATTGAAATTACTATCACTGACATTAGTAAACGAATGCACATGACAGTTGTTTTCACAATATCCACCATATTTCTTCTTGCAACCAACCATGAACTTAGGTTTCTCTTAAGATATTGACAAATGTATCACCCTTTCTATCGATCATAATCACTTGTGTCGTTCCTCTTTTTTTTTGCTCGTTCGTCTTTTTTTCTTTATATTATTTATTCATCGTTCTATCTAGTACTTGTCTGGGAATCATCTACACATATTGGAATCAATTAGATGTCGGGAAAACGTAATCCAGAACTTGATCGAGAGGTCCAACAATGGATTGAAAGTGTAATTGGAGAAAAATTTCCGAGTGGTTCTTATGACGATGCACTTAAAGATGGCATCATCTTATGCAAGTATGTCGTTTTATTTTATTTTTCTTGCATTAGTTCAAAAGAAATCTTTATTCATATTTTTGTAAAATAATAGATTAATGAATAAACTTCAACCTGGCGCTATTTCCAAGATCTGTACATCAGGTGGAGGATTTAAATTACGTGAAAATGTTTCAGCTTTTCGTAAGTGATAAAATTATTTTTTCTTTCTTATTAAATAAATCTTGAATAGAAAATGCTGCTCGTGCTTATGGTTTACCTGATGCAGAATTATTTCAAACGGTAGATCTTTTTGAGAAGCGAAATATAGCTCAAGTAACACAATGTATTCATGCCCTTGGGCGACAGGTGAATAATAAAATTCATAATTATAATTAATATTTCATCGGTTTTTTTTTTCAGGCACAAAGAAAAAATTTTAACGGACCAATACTAGGTCCAAAAATGTCTGACAGTAATGTCCGTGAGTTTACAGAAGAACAATTACGTGCTGGACAAAATATGGTTGGTTTACTCAACGACGGAATGAATAAAGGTGCAAGTCAAGCTGGTCAAAATATTGGTTTAACACGTCATATATAAAGAAAATGAAAAACAAGATTCTTTATTTTTATTCTATAAACATTAATTATTTATTTAACTAGTATTTATAGATACATTAGTAGGTCTCTTTGAATAGATAGAAGAGTAGTTAATAAAGATAACTAAGCTTTTATTTAAAAAAAAACCTAATAACATATTTGAATATATATTTGCGATAGAACAATAACTACTAAAATTATTCAACAAGACTTATTTTCATTTCTTTTCTTCTATCTTATTTGTTGAAAAGATTCAAATCAAGAAAAACTAAATAAAATAAAAATATAAGAAAATAAAAATGATTATCAGATTTCCAAATTTGAGCTTTCAAGAAAACCAAATCGTGAGTTTTTCAAAACGTACAACTCGGAAGTATAGTTTTCTTCAGACTATACAATAAGATAGAGTAAATAATACACTAGAAAAGTAGCCATCTTCAAATTCTATACGATTCTGTTTTTTTTTTCTTGAGATACCATAATTTAATTGAAAGTTTCAAATGAAATTTTTTCGTCGAAAATAGAAAAAAAACCGGCTTCAGACGTTGCTGTGACATGGCTCTATCTGCATCGAAAACAATCGTACAGATTTAAGAAATGTTTCATATTGAAGAGAATTATTTATCCTATCATTTTGTGTAGTGTGAATAAAATTAAATTTAACTGTTATAGGTGCTAGAAAACTGATGTTTTAGTTTTCTCTATATATCTCAATTTTGGAAATCTGATAACCATTTTTATTTTCTTATATCTCTATTTTATACATTTTCTCTATTGGAATCAATATTTGAATTTTTTGTAGCAATTAAGACAGCAGTAACCCAATAAAAATAAGTCTTATTGAACAATATTGGTAGCTACTGTATATTTGGTTATGAGAATCTTTTGTTGATGATATCGAATTTTAAAAGAAAGCCAACTGAAAATCTATTTCGACATTTGATTAGCAACAAGAATACGAAAGAACTAATATTGTTTTGATTTTGATTCAAAAAATTTCTATTTCATCTTTGAACTCGAATTTACCATTGCATCTTTATTGAAACACCGTTCATATTTTCTGTTTATATTTTTGCAAAAAAAAAGAAGGAAAACACAACAAAATTTGGATGAATGTTATATTGACAAATAAAAAAAAAACAAACAAAAGAAAATTTTACGATGAAGTAGGATATTGATAATAAGGTGAAGAAAATGAATATGGTGATGAGTATCGACTTGCAGCGGCAGCTGCTGCTAATGAAAATGGATTTGTATTAGGAGTTGATGCCATCGGTGTATAAGAAAATGGATAAGTTGGAGTTAATCGAGAATAAGGTGATGTATACAAACTAGGATCATAAAAATGTGATTGAAATTGATTTTCATAAAAATCTGTAAATGAAGTTGTTGAATCCGGTATATTAGCTGTACTATTTACAGATGCAATATGTGATGGAGGTATTTGATCATCTTCACCTGAACTTGATTTACGTCGTTTTGATGATTCTGGTGTTGGATATATATTTCGATCATAATCATCATCAAGACATCGTTTTGCTGATTTTATATCTCTATAAATGATAATTATTATACAAAATGAAATTTTATTTTTTATTCCTACTTTCGATTAGAATGTCCATTATTTTCACGAAAACCTTTAGCAAACTATAATATGAGAAAAAAAAAATGAATAGTAAAATTTATTTCAATTATTCTAGATTTTACTTACAGGATTATGATCAATTTTTAATCGAGTAACCTTGAATATGAAAAAAAAAAAAAGAATTTAAATAAAAAAGAAAGAAGTATTATTATAATATTTACATCCTCATTTTGATAAGCAGTTACAGCAATAAATTGAGTTTCTGGAAATACAAATATATTAATATTATCAAATGGTGCCATTGATACTTTCATATCAGTATTAGATGAATTAAAAGCTTGTACAATATGAAGACGAGGAATATATTTATGCATTGAATTAAGTACAATCTAAATTTTCAATTCAATTAAATTTCATTTAAAAACAAAACAAAATTTACATGTCCATTTTGATCAGCAGTATTATTAGTTAATTTAAGTTTACCAAATGATAATGGTTGTTTCATTAATTGTGCACCAGTTGAATTACTATCCGGATGAGGATAAAATCGACCTGGCACTAATCAAATAAAGAAAACAAAAAAACTCTATTTACTTGACATTAATTCACAAAAAATTTAACTTACTATGTGGTTCAGCTGCACCCGTAATTATCCATTGAGAATTATGATATTTATATCGATGATTATCAACAGGTATAACATCCATATAAACAATATATTTACTTGTTGGATCAAGTCCAGTCAATGATATTTTAAATGTTGGAAACATACGTCTAAATATATTCATATAATTATGATCTACTGTTGTGTTAAGAACAAAAAACAAAAAGCTGAAATCAATTAGTTATTTAACTCATCATTAATTTCAATTGATGAACAGATGCATCTAACACTTCATACTATATGAAAGCACATCTCTCAAGAGATTATGACAATAAGGTGAGCACGACACACACTAGTCTATTTAAGTGACAACAACAATTAAGTGTTTTTTAGTTTTTTTTTACCTTCCACTTTTTGTTATAATCATTTCTAAATCAAGTTCAGCAAAACGTTTCCATAAATCAATATTTTCAAGTTTAACATCAATATTTGGATCAGTACGTTTTGTTGTATGAACAAATGTATAAGATGTTCGAGATGTATCTATTTAATAAATATGAATAATTTTAATGAAAATGAAAATTTTGTTTTTTCTGTTTTTTTTTCTTTAAATATTTACCAGTAAATGGAGATATTTCATCATAAAAACTAAAACCAAAACCATATGCTGATGTTGATGGATGACCATAAACAAATGGTACTGGTGATTGGTGAGGATGTGGATGTGTATATGAAATACGTGAAGAATTCAAAAGTCCATTATTATCATTTTCATTTGGATATAATGATTTATTTCCTTCATCTGAAGATGTTGAACAGATGGCAAGTGCCGAATCGGATGATGATAGTTGTGTTTGCATTGATGGTGTCAGGTAGGATAACATGTGTGACGTAATTCGATTGATTCGTGTTTGTATCTATATGTTTAAGTTAAAAATAATTGATATCAGACAAGAGAGACAGACGGACAAAAAGAGAGAGAGAGAAAAAAAAAATGTATATGTATATTTTTTTGTCCAATCAATTGATTCATCCAATAAAATATTCTTTTTTGAAGGTAGTGAATATTGTCTTCTTCTTTTTCTTCTTCAATAAACATTTAGACCATTTATATTTATTGCAATTGCAACTATTACTACTCTATAAGCATACGTTTTGTTTTTTTTTTATGATGTGTGACTATAATCGTTTATGAATAGAGAGACAGAAAGAGAATCATTGAAAAAAATTTCAATATTGTTTTGTGATGATGTGATCAATACTCGAGAGAATATATATATATATATAACTAGTGTGAAAATCCCATTTGAGATATTAAATTAACTATTCATTTTTATGATATATATACGCTTTAATAAGTTCAGTTAGTCTTTTTTTTTAGAGTCTAATAAGTTTTTTATTTTAAATATAGACTTGTACACGAAAATTCTGTTTTTTTTTCTATATCAAAAAAATGGTGTATTATAATTATTTGTTGAATAAACTGAAGTTGGATAATATCCATAGGAAGAAAAATTCATTGATGATCCAGATGTTGGTCCCATATATGAATATGTTGGATTGTAGATCATAGATGATGAATCATTTGGATAAGAATTGTACGGAAATTGACGATGATATATTGAAGGAAAATTCAAAATTGTTGTATCACTGTTTTGTTCTTGATTATCAATACTATTATTTATATATGATGATGTTGTCGAATCAGCAACAGTACTATGTAATGGTGGCGAATATGAATTTGAAGATAATAATGAAGAATCATTTTTATATAGACGTTGTTGTTTTTCATCATATTTTATTGATTTATTTAATGAAGAAGTTGATTGAAGACGTTTGAGAGATTTTGAAGTATTTCTATAATAAAATGGACTTATGAAAAATCTTATATTTTGATTTTTAAAATTTTTATTTACTTTTTCCCATGTGTTGGTTCACGAAAACCTTTTGCAAATGGATTATTATCTATTTTTAAGTTTTTTATCTAAAAAAAAAAATACAAATTTAATATAATTTTTGTTTTGACTAAATTTATTTCAATTAACCTGATCATTTTGATAAGCAGTAACAGCAATAAAAATAGTTTCATCAAAAACAAATGTACTTAAGGGGCCTGTTCGTATTGAATAATCATCTGATGCTTGAACAATATGTAAACGTAGTATATATCGATGCATTGAATTTATAAGAATCTTTACAAAATAAATCATTTAAAATAAAAAAATTCTAAATTAAGATTAAGAAAACTATTACTTGATTAGAATTTTGCATCGGATTATTTGTTATTTTAACTTTATTAAAAAGAATGGTTTGTTTCATCCATTGTGCACCGGTTTGTGGACTATCAGGATGAATGTAATAACTAAAAATAAAAATATTTAATTTCTCGTGATTATGAACGTATTTTGAAATTTTCTTACCGTCCATAGATATGAGGTTCGGCTTTGC